AAGAAAAAGATACAGAATGTTTGGTTGGCACTTTTTCCAAGTGCGTGTTTCCGAGAACTGGGGCAGGTTCGGGCCAATGCGATTATTGTACTTCGTTGAAAATTTAGTATACATTTATGCAAATTTTGTAATTATACTTTGAATTAGCGTACATGAATAAACTCTATATCTATACAGTAAACTTTGCGTGAATTTGTACTAAGTCATGTAAGAAGTATAACAACCGCATAATTACATGAAAATTCCAACCGTATCTGCCTCTGATATTCGATGTTTTTGCCCCTCAACCTCGATTTAATGCAGTTTGTAAAGCATTTCCCGTGATTGTGCTGTAGAACGAGTTTGTTTGTTTTTTCTCGTTTCTTTTCCTTCTAACATCGCAGCTTCAGAAGATCATGCATTCACATTTGAGAAATGAGAAACATCAGTTACTTGCAGATCCTTGGCCACATGTTTGTAAATGAAAATATAGCTCTCACTTAATAAAATACGGCGGCCTATGGATGAAATACTTCAGGATTCATTTAATCCTATCATGTCATGGGCTGGTTGTTAGGTTTATCTTACTTACGTAGGAATAGGTGGGGCAAATGAATTACTTATAACGGAACAAAGGTAGTTGCTATTATACCCCATAAGAGTTTTGCAGTCTGCAGAAGCACTCCCGGTTACTGAGCCATCCAGATTAAGATATGCAGGATAGTCGAATGAATTATGACTCCAAACTGTGTTGAGGATAATAATCCACCGAGGACAAAAGGGCACGCTACTCTGCAGTCCAACCAAATTTTGGATCCACTTACCCAATCCAAGCTGGATTTCCTGCAGTTTCACTGTGCCACTGTGATGTGCAAACGGGAGATAGGTGAATCTGGTCAATCTACAAAGAGCTTACAGGTTAATCTGAACCATTAACGAGACAAATTAAGTCAAGAAACCATCTTTCCATCATGCCATTGGTTGATCCAAAAATCAAGTCCATGATGAACCGAGTGCGCTATATTAGGTCCAAGGCACTGTAGAAAAGGACAATGCACTGGGATCTTGTGCTTTCCGGTGATCTTTGATGTTTTAGAGTGATTGGAGATTACCATTTTCCTATGCGTTTTAGAGTATTTAAAACTTCTGTTGACCTTCTTAGGACCAATGGTATTCAGATTATCCATTTTAGCCATATCTATTTGTATCCTTTTACCCCTAGGACAGCAACATGCTTTTCTTGGTTACTATTATTAGTAATTGTGGATTAGGACAACCAACCATGTGGAGTCTTTATTGGTCGGACGCTAGCCGATGAATTCAGAATCATACAGCATCATAGATTAGATTTAATCATAATGCTTGTACGTCCTGCATTATTTCTTGTATTGGGATTGGGGCTTTCCAGCATACAGCTGCATCACTTGCCAAAATAGTGATAAGCGGTGCCTAACCGATTATTTTTGCTTTAGCTTTTCTAATTTCCTTCTGATAAGGTATAGCATCCCTTCGCATGCGTCGAAAACTTTTCACAAATCATCAGCCAAGGTTTGATTATAAATCTTCATTTGTCTCTTTAGGGAGGGAGGGAAGGAAAAAGGGCTATAACATTTGCAGGAGAGGAGAGAAAAGGAAAAGGATTATATTAGTAATCCAAGTGATGTCTATGTTGCATTTGTGTTTTGCTATATTGGTGCTTATCTAGCAGACGGTCGGATTCATATTTTTGGCCAGCCTAATTGGTTCACGGCAAAATTAACGCAGTCTCTAGTTTTCTTGATCAAATGCCTAAATATATACTGTATTCCTTCCGGAACAGTTGGAAGCAAGCAGCCTTCCCATTTCCCAAAGAGAAGCTGTCCCATTTGATTGAGTTTGAAATTAAATGGCTGTGGAGCATTGGATGCTATGAGATTTAAGCATCGGAAAGAAACCAAGAACGGATCTTGGCATATCCCAGGAGTGTGCAGATTCAGCGCCAAAACCGTTAACTCGGGCTTTTGCCTAATGATCATTACTGTGTACATAGCTCCTTCGTTAGTAAATAATGAAGTAACATTTTGGGGGCATAAATTAAGGTTCAGATTGTGAAAATCAGCCAAACCGACTGCTTGAATCTGACCACTACCAGCTGAAGTATCCATAGGACCGTAATCAACCAACCTTACTGGTTCACAAACTTTGATATCAGCAGAAAGTTTGTGTTTAATTCAATTACGACAAATACTAAAAATTGCTACAAATACTTGTTTTGCATCCACTTTACTCCTAAAGCGAGCAACTTCACATCAAACTCATTATTGGGATTTGCTTTCCTAACTAGCAACTTGCCATATATGGTTGCCATGCCAAACCCTTGATCTAAGGTTGGCGATACTGTCAGAGCTATAATTTTTTTTTTTTGTCAGAGCAGTTCCTATTCTTAAATGGTTTCATCATATTTAGTTAACACAAGTGCTTTACCTATTCTTAAATGGTTTCATCGTATTTGGTTGAACCTTAAACCTTCATGGTGGTGCAATGGCTAGTTTAGTGAACAAACTCTTGTTCGTTGACAAGAAAAGAAGGGGTTATTGGGTCATATCTAATACTCCATACCAGAGTTTTTTTTTTTTTTTTTGCATAATTAGAACCTCAATGTCTACATTTTTTTTTTTTTACATTCGTATGTTTTATTAAGGGTAAATTACATTTTACCCCCCCTGTGGTTTACCCTTTTCTTACATAACCCCCTTATAGTTTCAAAAGCTATACATAACCCCCTCATGGTTTGGATTAAAGTGTCAAACTAACGGAAATAGTCACTCGTAACGGAACTTCTAAAAATGTCGAAATTACCCTTATAAATACATGACACATTAACCCCCTATGATTTTTATATTTTACCATATAACCCCCTTATGGTTTAATACTTTACCATATAACCCCTTTATGATTTTCAAAATATACACATAACCCCCCTTGGTTAATACATAAATTTCAACCTTACATAAGGGTATTTTTGACATTTTAGGTGACGCCATTACGAGTGACTATTTCCGTTAATTTGACACTTTAATCCAAACCATAAGGGGGTTATGTATAGTTTTTGAAATCATAGGGGGGTTATGTGAAAAACGCTAAACCAAAGGGGGATAAAGTGGAATTTGCCCTTTTATTGAAGACTGTGAGAAAATTGTGTGATTACTATTGTAATGTCATTGGAACTCAATCCTCTGGTATACCCAACAGGTTTTATTTCTTTGAATTTTCTTATTTATTGTGCCTGTATACAGTGAATCTTCTTGCACACTTTTATAATCTTTTCCACTTTTCTACTTTGTTATATAAACTTTGACTACAACATGTGTCCATATTTTCTAATAATTAGATTAAAGTAATTTAAAAATTGCATTATGTTCTATATTTGAAGGAAAAGTGTGTCTACAATTTTTTTGGATTATTAGTTATTTGTGTTAAATCACGTTGTATTTGTGAAAAATAACTTTTGAGTATAACTTTGAAAAGAAAAAATAAGAGCACTTTAAAGCGAAAAAATTACAATACAAGCAAAGATTATGGTAAAAAAAAAACTCAAAACCAAATTAGAGAATTATGAAAATAATGGATAAATAAATTAAAAAAAAGAGACGAAGAAGGCAAATCAGTAAATTAATTGGAAAGAGAAGAAGAATCAATTAATTAGAGAGAAGAAAAGAATGCTTAGTGGATGATGGGTCCGAACAAAGTAAACAGGAATACATGAGCTGATGGTAATATTAGATAAGAGTTGCTGTGGCAAAAAGATTAGTGATAATTGAACCTCCCTATTTGCGGTAAAAATTTTTTAGTTAGGGGGTCCTACTCCTAGCATGTTCCTAGACAAGAAAAGAAAGTAGGGGATGACGAAAGACGTGACGTTAAACCACATTTGGCATCTTGTATTAGTAGCACAATTTTTAATCACTCAACCTTCATAGTTAAAGCTGTGGTCCACTTTGCTACCAAAGGAAATGCCAAATTAGTGATAAAAAAAAAAAAAATCAAGAAGTCATTATCTTGTGAAGCCAGAAAATTAAGACCGCTCATGAAGGTTTGCCGTTTGCTTCACTCACAAGATCCATTTTGCCAGTGATCCTGCTCGGTCCGATTGGTTTGCAAAAGCTGTAAAACCTTTTGAAAGCTTGAAAAAAAAAATATTTAATCATGTTTTAGTAATTGTTTAATTTTTTTTTCCATCTTTTTGCTGATATAACTTGAAATGTATAAACCTATTTTGACAGATCCATTGTTGACCATCAAGATTAGCAATAAGTAATCAAGCCCAGATGTTGTGCTGATGATTTTCGATCAGACTGACTTTTTTTTTTTTTTTTTTCAATCCTGTCCGAGTTTAACAACGTTAACTATCAAATGAAGGAGAGACTCCAGGCTTCCGTTGCTTACGGAATGATAGTTGATTTCCAAAAACAACAATCTTCTTGATGTGTCAGCAACTCTGTCCTTTAGCTAGAAGTTGAATAGACTTACACAATCATTAATCTTACCAAAACTTACAATTATTGAAGGGATGCTGATGTCCCGACCACCTTGAATAAGTCATCAGTTTCTTCGGAAAAAAAAAATAAAAAAAATCGTCAGTTATTTTGTTCAGTTTAAATCCTCAAATTATCGGTCAGACCTCTTGGCTACAGCATCCCTTCAAGAATAATGATACAGATGAGGAATCTCAAGCTCAGAAATCTCTCGTCTGCAGCCGATAAAATTATCCATCCAAGATTATAAATAGGCGTTTTTAGGATTTATTTTATAGACAATTTGCTGTCTTATTTGTATTTTATGCCTTGTCCCTATGGCTGCTGCATCTTGGGTTTGGATTCTTGTTGAATATGATGGTATAGATTTTTGGTGAATCATGTTAGTTTGAGATTTTCATCCTGCATCGGCCGACCCTTTGATTATTTGACATGGAATTAGTTCCATGTTCTTCTGTTAAAATCGCTTCCGCTGCCATGTTAAAAGAATCAATGCAACAAAACAAGTAGCGAAGAAGTATTGTGAAGTTCAATCCATTCCATCATTCTGGGCCAACATTAAAAATTAAGCTCCTCTAACTAACGGAACTTATCTCTCAAAAGTCTCAGGCGGTTTATGTTTCATGCTCCTGGTTAACGGTTGATCTGTATAACTCGGCTTCAAAACTTTTATTTGTTCCTCAATCGACAACTAATTTGAACTTATTGACCACATGATCCTACAATAGCAAATTGAAAGGCACAATGGTGTAATCAAAACTGATTGGAGCAGACGTAAGGCCGATGAGTTGGAGATCTCAACGTTTGTCCGGACAGTTGCAGTCTTGAATCAAAAAGACTCCCAGCAGAAAAAAAAAATGTTAACAGGAACAGGTCGTAGTTTTCCTCGAACTTAATCAGGGCTTGAAGGGTGCAAAAACGACCACCGAGTTGTGCCCGCCAAAGCCAAATGAGTTAGAGATAGCTGCATTATAAGAAAAAAACAAAAAAGAATTCAGGGGAATCTGATGCTGCATTTTGTTCTTTACTCATGCTGCTGCTTCAGGAGCTATATTACTTTTTACGTGACGTCAGTCTAGTGTTTTAGCACAGAGCAACTCAAATGGAACATACTGCCGTCAAACTTTCAATGACGCACGTTTCATCCGCATAGAGTAATCATGCAAGAGGGAAAGAAGGAAGCAAGACAGGATTACATACCAACATTGACTTCGTGCCGTTTCTTCACATTTGGGACAGTGTCAATGGTAACCTCAGGCTCCAAGTTCTGGACATTGAAAGTACAGGAAGAAGTAATTAGTTCAATCCACCCCTTACTGCGTGTACCTTCCAGAAAAGTACAGTTGTTATCTTACATATTGGTTAATCGTAGGATGTAGCCAGCCAGTGGTGATTGCTTTAATGGTTGCTATGGCCTCAAGACCGCCAGCTGCTCCAAGGCCGTGCCCAATCATTGACTGGAAAAGGAAAGGTTGTGATATGTTCAGCAACAATGGTGTCTCAATCTTTCTCCACATATGTATTAAGACATTACCAATGTGGCATGTCATTTCATTCAGCATGTCAAAATGTTTCAATGAGTGTGAGCGAACTCTGAAAATGCAGATCACTTGGTTACTGAATCAGTGCATGCATGTAACAGTTGTTTCACTGAAAGGCAAATTCTACATTTTGTATGAGCAGAATGAGAATAGCCCATTTTCTCTCGGCCTCCTAACAAGTTTTGTATGTGTTTGATGTGTTGATTCAGGTAGATTTCCTGATTGATGGTGGACTCAGTTGCTTAGGTAAAATCAAACTAGTGTGTGTTGAGCTTGTGAAGAAGAATGTTGCATGCTTGCTTGCGTTTACACTAATGCGGTGAATGTAAACAAGGTGTAATTATGTTTATTTGTCACCTTGGTTCCATTCATCTTCATCTCAGAAGTATCCTTGAAGACCTTCTTGATGGCATTAACCTCTGCCAAATCTCCAGCCAGGGTCGATGTTGCATGAGCATTCACATAATTCACCTGTTGTCACTTTTGTTAATCCTCACACCAAGTTTAGACTGCTGTCACTCATAAGCTTGTCTTGATGACAAATCTACAATCAAAATTACCTCTTCTGGAGAGACTCCAGCATCTTCCAAGCTCTTGGTTATGCAAGATGAAACTCCAAGTCCATCTGAACGTGGATCAGTCATATGATGAGCATCGCAAGTAATTGCACCCCCGAGGTACTCAGCAATGATATTGGCCCCTCTTTTTTCAGCATTTTCCAGACTTTCCATAATCTGTCGGGTTTCATTAAAATCAAGATTGAAAGGTTTTGGGTTTATACGATTACTACTCGAGGAATTTCTAATGCAGTAAGAACCAACTTTCACAACTGGCTAAGCAGAAATGAAATTATGTATACCAGCACACCAGAGCCTTCACCGATGACAAATCCATCACGATCTTTATCCCATGGCCTTGAAGCCTTTTCAGGTTCATCATTTCTTTGAGATAAGGCACGACATGCAATAAAACCACCAACACCAGTTGCCATTACTGCTGCTTCTGTCCCGCCAGCAACCATGATATCTGCTTCACCCCTTCGTATATGATTTGCGGCTGCATAAAAGCAATAATTGGCGGTTGCACAGGCTGTTGAAATAGAGTAATTTGGACCCATCAAGCCAGTATCTATAGCCAATAATGCTGAACCCATGTTGGTAATGGAGTAGGGAATGAAAAATGGAGTGATTTTCTTATATCCCTTTTGAATTAAAGCTTCAACACCATTACTGAAAGCTGTTAAGCCACCCATGCCAGACCCAACCAAAACTCCAATTCTTGATCTGTCCATCTGCAATTACAGAAGCATTCGTTATAATGAATTTGATCATAGGATACCGTTTCCACTTTTGGTGAGAATTAGACTCACAGTTTCAAGGACTTCTTGGCCAAGGCTTGCATCATCAAGAGCCCTCCTTCCAGCGACTAAACAATACCTCCAGCAGTCATCCAGTCGGCGATCATTCTTCCCATCAATGTAGCCTTTGGAAGAGAAATCCCTGATCTGACCCGCAAAACGAACAGAGTAATTTGAGGCGTCAAACCTGTCTATTAAACTGATTCCGCTCTCTCCTTCGAGAAGTTTACTATAGAAGGTATCATCGTCACTTCCAAATACTGAAACAAGGCCCATTCCTGTTATGACAATTCTTTTCTTTGGATCTGTTTCTCGCTTGGGAGCTGAAACAGTGGGAGAAGCCATTGCCCTAATTCCTCTGCATTTTGATGCTGAGGATTACCAAGTCAATCAGAACTAAATTGGGAAGGCTAAGGAAATAACCTGAGATTAATTACAACTCACAAGCAATCAATCATTTATTGGCAGCATTTATAGCGAGATAATACCCTATATTACTATGAAGTGTCCTGACTATTTAGCTTGAAAGAGTGACCATAATCAGCATTGGTCCTTTATACACAATCTTTTCTTCAATTCTCCAAACTAAGAAGAGTAAATGTACTCTTTCCTTCGAAGGCAAGAAACTCAGGAACAGATGATGGAATACCACAAGGCACTGAAAGTTAATTTCCAAAAAATGAAAGAAGATGGAACACCAACAATATTGAAACTCAGTTTCCCAAAAAAACGAGAGGCCACGGCAAACCAAAAAACCAAAGATGTAGGATATTGCATTGATTTTCTGATCATCAACTTATCTTGAAAATTTCAAAAAAGTAACTGTGGTGTCCGCTTTGATTGGACGAGGGGCAGTAACTAGGATCCATACACAATCATTTCTTCAATATTCTAAAATTAAGAAGAGTAAATGTGCTCAGTTCCACAAGATACTAGCGGTGAGAGGCCAAGGCAACCGAAAGATGAATTATATTGCATTGATTTTCTGATCATCCATTATTTCTGAAAATTTTTTAACAAAATACAATGAACGGTCATTTGCTTATTGTTACACCGTAAAGCAAAAATACTCAACAGTTGGATAAAGTATAAACACAAAATCACAAGCACATGCTCCAAAAGACCCATTAAAGCCATGATTTATGCATCGACCACGTTGTTGCTACTCAAACAGCAGCAATTCAGCGAAAATGGAAAGTGGAAACGATGTGTGTGAAGAACAAAATTGTAAAGTTTAGTTGTACTTATTGTTCATGATAAGACACAAACTCGAACCATCAGAGTAGGACCTGTTAAACCTCTAATAATTAACCCACGTGATCTTCTGGAATCTCAATTTTTAGGCCTGCAATAGCCTCGCTCATTAAAGCTGCTTGGCAATGTACTTGGAGGCCCTGTTTTTTCAATCATATTTAAACTTCACTTGGAAGTCAAATTACAACCTTCTTGATCTCATGTTTCTTTAACTCGAGACACAACATCAGGAAACGTTGGAAATTCCTCTTGCATAGCAATAACTCTTACGTGAAGAGGATCAGAAGAAACTAAAGAATTCAGATACCATACCAGTGTAGCAGTTATTGCATTAAGATTGATACCAAAGGAGTGGTAAGAATTATTGAGCATACCTGATCTAGAAATGAACCCTTTTGGTTTGCTTGAATCCAGCTTGAAACTGTCGACTGTTCTAAGCCCACTGTACTGACAAAACGATGAGCCATTTCTTCCGGATTCTGAATTCTTCAATATCGAACTAGAAGAAAATGTACCAGCAATGCTAGTCATTTTTCAATTCATAAGTTCACTCACACGAAAAAACTCGCACTTCCCCTTTTTCACCAAATGTGGTATTGATAGTTATATAGCACGTACGAGAGAAAGAGCCAATGCACAGCTGAGGAAGAAAAATGCGGAAGGAGTTAACAAAGCCATGTTTGGAGCAAAATTTGGTTGCTCTTTCCGCCTAACTGTTGCTAAGACTTTAATTAGGAGACAAAACATGGCGATGACTGCCAGACACTTGATTTTCAACAAGCAAACTGTTACCTAACACTTACCAACACAGAGGCATGTTGGCTACCTAGACAGTCACTTGCATTCGTGCATCATTTGTGTGGGTTATTATGTGTATCTGATTATGGTTGTTAGTTCAGATGGATATTATTATTATTTTTTTATATGTTTTTCAATAATTCTTTCTCCAACCAAAAAAAAAAAGGGACTTTCTTAATAGTTCAAAGAAAATGAAAAAATTAATAATGTTGTTCAAGAGCAGCTGATAATTGTTGAGTTTTTAATTTTTTTTAAAATAGCAAGTTAGCAATGACTCGGTGCTTGAAAAGCTTTTTGGGCCCTCAAGTTCGCCTCTTCTTGTTGATGCAGCAACCCAAAAAACAACCAATTCAAAGGAAACGTAGGTTTACCAATGTTGTAGTATTGGATTGTAGAAGTGAGGATTATTTGCTGATGCCAAGCTCCATACAGCGGGCCTTGGGCCGCCATCTACTGCTCATAGTCCAGCAAGGACTGGATTAGCACCCCCTAAGTTTGTTTGCTTATCGATTGTCATTCCTACTCAAATTAATGCGTTCCTGAAATTTAAATCAAACATGCCATTCAATCGTCCAAAGAGAAATTTTCAGAAAGTAATTATACCATGAACTAATTATCAAAAAAAAAAAAAAACAGAGAGGATTAATCTACCGTGAATTTTTTTGGAGATAATTGGAAATTGAAATTATATCAAAAAAAAGTTGAAAGTGGCTATCCCTATCAGCTTGTCTGCATCTTATTACAACGAAAAATTGATTAGTGCTCTATGCTTATTGACCCTTTCAAAAGGAAGAAAGGAAGATCCACTATAATTTTATTTTTTTTTTTTAGAAAAAAAAAAAGTCACCGCAATGAATTTGTTTTGTTGATTGCAAGTGTTTACCAACCCCATAATTACATTTACCACTATCCTGCTTGCAAAAGCAGAAAGTTGCAAAATTTCAACCCTTTGGAAAGCGAGGTGTTAGTAAACAATTAGAATTTGCCTTTGAACCTTTTTCTTTTTTATCCATCTTCGTTGGTTTAAAGACAATTTACGAGCAAGGAAGAAGAGAGATCCCAATTCCCATGTACCCTTTTGTTTTATTGTAATTTATTTATTCCCCTTTTCTCTTGATGGGGTTGGGCGGTGGAGGGGAGGAATGAAAATTGAAAAGGGAGATCCCAAGCCAAATAATAATCACGCTAACAAGAAGGGAACGTGTCCTTCCCCAATAGATTACTACACCATATAAAGATTAGATTAGATGCTTTTGTCTGTGCAAAATCGCGGCGCAATTTTTTGTGGATAAGAGTCCCGACCATAATCTGTCAATCTGGCCGCGTTTTACGTTTCAACATCTCAGTGGTTATTGAGCAACTTTTTGAGCTTCAGTCAGACTCCATTCCATGCCTCATCTTTATCCCTCCCATTAAGATTTAAGCTTCGGTGGAAATGGAATGTGCCACCTATACAATGAAAACAAAAAAAAAAAAAAATGATAAACCATTACTAACTGTGTGCAGGGGAAAATGATTTTCGTTCCATAATGATAATAATGTATGCGCCAATTGAAATTCCTGAACAATTGGCCTCGTGTGGCAAGTGAATTTTTTTTTAAGTATTTGTCTAAAATTTTACTATAATTTATTATAGAAGTTGTAAAATTTTTTTTTGAAATGCATATATTTTTAAATATATAATTTAAAATTTTTAAAATTTTTTTTAAAATTATTATAATTAAAATTATTAAAAAACTTATCGCAAACAAACTTGATCGAAAAATTGCTTGCCAAACAAACAAGGCCAATATCTTATCTACGTTGGCAACATTCAATTATGAAATGTTCACTTTTTCTCTCCGCATAGGCTTTTGTTTTTCAATTTTCCTCTCTTCTCCTCAAGACGAAGCCCACAGGCTGAAATGGATCCACAGCCCAAGTTATCCAAAATTCAGTAGACCCTACCGGTAACGTGGCAAAAGGGAGAGCTAGCAAACACGTGTAATTGCCAACTCACACTTGCCATGAAATTGAGAGTAGAGTAGAGTAGAGAGGCTTACCTTAGCAACTAAGGAAGGGAGGACTTGGACTTGGTCTTGCACCTCAACGAAGTGCGAGATAAGTTAGACCTTCTAGACGGACGGACCATCCTTCTAGATGGATAGAGACAGAGATAGAAAGAAAGATCAACTCCATCTCCTTATTTAATATATCACATCCTTTTTTTTTTTTTCTTCTAATTTTGGTATGCAAAATCAATTTCATAAATCCATTCCAAAATCAAGAAAAACATACTACAAATGACGCCTTGTTTTCGATTGAATATTTTAACTGATTATAAGTTTTAATTTTAAATAATTAGTAATATTCTTGATTATTTTTGTGCCCTAATTATAAAATTTTTTAATGATAAAAAAATTAAAATTCATAATCATTAGAAAAAAACAAATTTTTTTTATTGTAATTATTCTTTGTGATCAATTTTTATAATCACTTTAACAAGACCTAACTCCTAGTATGTACCTCCTTACTCCTCTCCTCGCCACGTCCACCTGTCCAAGTCTACATCACTCCCCGCGTTTTTTCCCTCACCACATCCGCGGATTCTCCCCCACCCACCCACCCACCCACTGTCCCGCGTCATTATTACGGACATTTAAAAAATAAAAAAAAAAGAAATTTAAAGGACCAAATATAGTAGTACATTAGTACGTATTGTATTGGATTCAAGTGCTTTTAGCTATACATAATTCATTATGTACTTATTATATTGGATAATATGTAATTTAAAAATTTTTAAAAATATTTATCTTTTTACTTAATTCATAATATATGATAAAATAATTAAGTTTAACATTTTATTTTTATAATACAAAATTTATTCTAAACGTTTTAAATTTGAACTTTTTCTAAAAATACTTCTAATTTTAAAAATTCTACTTCACTTCTAATTTTATGAGATGATATTTATCAACCACTACAAAAGTGATTTTAACATCCAAACATGCTTTTTTGAAATAAGGATCGCTGGTCAAAGCAACCTAAAAGAGTAAAGGTTCTCTTTTGAAACGTGATTTCCTATACAATTTCTTCACCCAAAAAAAAATCACAATCTATGGTTTAAATACCCTATCCGAAGAAAAGAAAAATCCAATAATGATAACTATGCATCCTCATAATATTCTGTCATAAATTGCAGATTTATGTAATTTTATGGAGCACAATTCGAACTTCAAGCAAAATTCTGATAACGTGGAAATACTTCTGAAATTCTACACTCGTGTATATCCATGGAAGAATTGATAATCCGTGATCGAAATAGCTTTTCTTGACTTCTTAATTAAGTTTTGCTACAAAATGAATAAAAGCTATAACTCCAAATAAATCCTTATAATAAAATCCCTTTATTTTTCCGCTTAATTTTTTTCGGAGACGACGGCAGTTGTATAATCTAATCTATTCTACACTAAGGAGGAGGGGTGAATCTAAGGAGGTCCAAAAATAATTCGGAGAGAACTAAACCATCACAAAATAAAACGGATGCATAACACATCTATCTAAATTTTTTTAAAATAAATCATTTAAATATGATATTTTTTGTGAATCCTTGCCTCCCACCCGTCAAGGCCACCAGCCTTTGAGTTTATATTTCCCCCCTAATGGAGTTTATATTTTATTAGATATCTTCTGTTCTGACTTCTGCGTATCCAATAAAGCACCTCTGCAGTAATGTATTACTGTTTACTTTTCACTCTCTCACACAGACACCCGCAGAGCTTTTGACAAGTCTACACGCCATCCCTTCCCCCACCCGCGGTTAGACTGTACAGCACTTGCCAGGATACTTCCTCTCGCTCACTCCCCTTCTTATATTCAGCACCTTCTCCATTTTCTCCACTTCATGTATCCTCTTCCCTAGCATTACATAAATCCCTAGTCTTTGTACTCCAGACAAACAACAAAAGCACATAGTACTTCTTTGCCCTTCTCTCTCGCAAAACTCAAGCCGAAAGATTGTATTTTGAAGAAGAAGAAGGAAAAGAAAGCGAAGATGGAGAGCAATCAATCATCCTTCTGGCAATTCAGTGATCAACTCCGTTTACAAACCAATAGCTTAGCCAATCTTTCCCTCAATGATTCGATTTGGAGCAATTCTTATGTGTCCAAAAGGCCTGAAGAAAGGAGAAACTTTGATATCAGGGTTGGTGGTGAGGTCAATTCATTAGGCAGCAGCAATTTGAAGTCTGATTTTAATCAGGGGTTCAGCAATGATTCTGGCTGGAACAACAACAACAACAACAATAATTACAACATCAGCAACAAGTTTGGATCTTTTGGTGGTTCTTCTACAAAAGGCGGTTTTGAAAATGTTGGGGTGGGTTTAAATGGTGGATTTAATAAGGGGATCTACAATTCCTCTGCAGTTAATTTGGCTAATTACAGTAAGGGAAATAATAATGTGGTGGCGAATGGTAAATTGTTCTATGGCAAAAGTGGTAAAGTTGCTGATTTGGATGAGCTTGGAATTGTGCATGTGGGTGGTAAAGGTGGCAAGAAGAACAAGGGTAATAAGGATATCAACAAGGAGAGTTCTAATAATAACAATAACAACAATGGCGATGGCAAAAATGGGGTGGACAAGAGGTTCAAGACTTTGCCACCATCTGAGTCTCTGCCCAGGAATGAGACTGTTGGTGGATATATTTTCGTCTGCAACAATGATACGATGCAAGAAAATCTCAAAAGACAGCTTTTTGGTAAGAGCCCCCCTTCTTCTGATTTTTGCTTTTCAATTCTGGTATATTTGATATTTGTGAAGTAAATATTTCACTTTTAGTGAATTTTTGTTGGGAAATCATGTTCTAGTTTTTAGCATATGCCGTTTATAGGATAATTCCACTGATAATTGAGAGGTGTGGAACTAATTAATTAATACGATTAAAATTGGATTCTCTCTATATTTTTCCTAGAGTTGCATCGGATTGTTGCAAAATAGTTTATTAAAATTTCTGCTCTTTAAGTTCACCTTTCAGGCATACATACTACCTACTGTAATTTGGGTATCGAAATCTGTTTTTCCTTTCCCCCGTGAAGGTTGGTTTCCGTCGTGTATAAACCATACTATAACGATATATACGCATGCTGAATAGAAGGGCAAAATTTGCCTAAAGGATAGAAGTGCAGGAGCGGCTCTAGTCGAACTGATTGTGTATTTGGTATCCAGCATGATGATTTTTTTGAGGAGAATTGGTCTATTTACATTGAATTTTTGTTTAACTGAGTGTGTGAGAAGATGAATTGGATTCGATGTTAGCTTCTACTGTCGGATGGGATTATTTGTTGGTTTGTCCATTTTTATTTTTCTTCAATACGTATTGTCTTATAGATTTGCTTCTGTAATTGTTGTTGTTTTTCAGGCTTGCCTCCCCGCTACCGAGATTCTGTCAGAGCGATAACACCGGGATTGCCCCTGTTCCTCTACAATTATTCCACCCACCAACTCCATGGAATTTTTGAGGTTTGCATCCTCTCTTTGCTTTGCTTTGCTTTACAAACAAAGAAGTTGGTTGAGGTTGAGGATGTCCTTCAAAGTCAAGGACGCTAAACCTAACATGTTAGTCGGACGCTAAACCTTCTTGTCATCTTCTCGAAGTAGTTGATGAGCACATGTGGCTGGCTGTACTAGTTAGTATTATTGACTGTCACAAGGAAGAATGCTTTGTTAATGACCTCCTCCCCTCCTATTAGACCAGAGGTCATGAGGAGGGAAAAAAAACTTTTTTTTTTTTTTTTTTTTTAAAAAATTGTGTGGACTGTAATACTTACTACTACTAATACGGAAGGAAACTTTTTGGATCAGGCTGCGAGTTTTGGTGGAACTAACATTGACCCTTCAGCCTGGGAGGACAAGAAGAACCCTGGTGAATCGCGTTTCCCTGCTCAGGTACCTCCTCCTCCTCCTCCTCCTCCTGGGATTGGATTTTTAATCCACATTATTATTAGCTCAGAGCTTATTGTCATTTCTTTAGTTGGTTGGAATTAATTACAAGCCTTCTTGATACGAGATGTAAAATATACTATTTTTACACATGGAAAGATATGATATGATATGATATGATATGATGGTGGTGAGAGATGAAAGAAGAAGATTAAATCATCATGATGATGTTTCACTCTTCAGGTTCGTGTGATGACTAGGAAGATTTGTGAACCTATGGAGGAAGACTCTTTTAGGCCAATCCTTCACCACTATGATGGCCCTAAATTCCGTCTCGAATTGAGTGTTCCTGAGGTAAGTGTGCTTTATTAATTTTTAATTATTGTCTTGAAACGTTGGCAGGGAGCGATTATAAAGTGGCATGGCTTTTAATTTTTGACATAGAGAGTATTAGTATTAATTTGGTAACATAACATGATGATGGAGTATGGTTGGTGCAGGCCCTCTCTCTTCTGGATATATTTGATGACAACAATTAATGCCTAGAGCGAGCGTCCTATGATGTTAATCCATCTGGGAACTGGCCGCCGGGCCGGCCAACAATTAATGCAGAGTTTGTACCAAACCAACACACGATCAAGAACGGAACAGCAGATGGAAGAAGTGCATAGTATTACGTAGCAGTACAATGAATATTTTACTCTAGAGGTTGAAGGCAGGCGCTATGTATTACGTATTATGTGTTATGGAAGAACGGAGCTACTAGCTATGTACACAGATCATCGTCGTCATCATCATCATGTGTGTTTAAAAAAGAGAGAGAGAGATTAAGTGTGCTTTTTTTGTGCAATGTGGCACGTTACGCCCTCACATACTCTACAGATTCTAAAGTGAAAAAAGTAATAATAAAGCGATAAAGAGGCCATCATCCATAGTAGTAGTGGCTATTATATGGCAGTTGAACTGCTCTTATTATTATACAGTAGTTGTTATTGTTAGAGGTTGGTGTTGCTTTTCTTTTACTCGGGGCATGGTATGGTTGAGAATGCCTAGTCCAAAAATTTGGCTCAAGAAGAAGAAGAAGAAGAAGAGGGAGTGATTCCATTGGGCAAATAATAAAAGATGGCCCGATCGCTTAAAGAAAGTTGAAACTACTGCAACGACTCTCATCATTTCCTGCAAATTTAGAGCCAGCTGCCTGCTGCAATCCACTCCACCCACCCGCTGGTAGATGTGATTATTATTTGTTTGTTTATTAATTAAGGTGGTGGTGGTAGCGACTAGCGAGTGAGTATTTGACCGCTACATATTAACGCGCTAATATGATGTTTATTAGTATTTGGGCTATGACTCGCGATGAAGTATGGACGGCTGTTACTTCACGGAACAATCCAACTTTTGAAGGGTTCTTCATTTACATACTCCCTCCGTCTCGTTTTCTTAGTCTTGATTTTTTTTTCACACAGATTAAGAAAGTGTAATTAATTTGGTTGGAAACATAAATTTAGATTAATAATTTTTTAAAATACCCTTATGCTAATCACGAAGAGTGCATTGGAAAAGCTCAATGTATTCAATGTAGTGAGTTAGTATTTAATAATAATGTATTAATAACAAGATATTTAATAAGGGTATTTTAGATAATTTGAAAGATTACTACATTGCTTAATGGGAAAGTGGACTACAATTGGGACAGACGAAAAAGGAAAACAAGACTATCAAAGTGGGACGGAGGAAGTATTATATTATTGTTGTTGGCCGATACCCCGTCAGAGAGAGTACTGCTGGTTGTTTTCTTCCATCAATCAAATATTCAATGGTGAAGGGATGCAGTCAAACGGTGAAGGTATTTAAATTGTTTAAAGTTCAGCAACCGAGAACATCTCCCTCTTTTCTGATTTTTGGCAACAAATAATTAATATAATATCATCATCCCTTGCTACTAAACTTCCCAACACACACACACACACAGCTTTGTGCACGAGGACAATAATTTCTTCAAACTTTTTGTTCTGCTTTTGGTGCCAGCCCTGTGACCTTTCTAGGCCCGCGAGAGCGTGGGAAACTGGAAAATAGTTCTAGCATTTGTCACGGCGGCGGAGAATGGCTATTATCATTATTATTTATTATTCTTCCTTGACCCAGCAAAAAGAGCCCTTATGCCCAAGCCAACACTTGCACCAATAGGCTCTTAGCCTCTTACCGACCGACATACACATAGAGGATGAAAGCTAGAACGGTCAATTCGTCGGCAGGAGGTACAAACACATGGACGAATGGCACCCTGCTGCCACTATCTGAATTGAAGGACGGTTGCTCTTTCATTGATTGATTATGTTGAGTAGATGGTGTTGGAGACAGCAATTAATAACGCAAGCTTACATGGAAGCACGTTACACGTCGTCGACGTGGAGGAGTTGAACTCTTTTTTTTTTTTTTTTTTTGGATGCAGGGATATTCGGACTTTTGATCCGACTAATTCCCTGCTATTCGAAGAAACACGATAGTCTCGGAACTCGAACAGTGATCATCGTACGTTAAAAAAGCGGGGCAACCAAACCGCTGGAGCTATCCGACGTAGCGATGGAGGAGTTCAACTACAAGCGGTTGAACCTCACAAGCCTACTTATCTCACCAAAAAATAAAAAATAAAAAAAATCACAAGCCTCATGTGCCACTTGTCCTCCAAAGTCAAAGTGCAGCCCATCTTCGAGTAGGATTGATTAACAAGAATGGACTGAAACATGCTCAATTATTATAGGAGATTACCTTTTTTTCATTGGAGCAAAATATGCCTTTTATTGAGATCATCAAGAAAGCTTGCACAATACAACCTTCACACGTACACACACGGAAATAGAAAACAGCTGGTATAACAACACGCGGTCAGGATGACCTAAGTTCAAGGGACCAATTCTCAACACCATATGAAATAGAGTTTATCTTCTTCTTCTTCTTCTTCTTCTTCTTCTTCTTCTTCTTCTTCTTCATTTTTCCTTTTTCTGTAAGTGCCACATGAAACATGAAAAAGTAAATTTATGATCAAATGATGTCAATAGTCAACGCACCTTTTTTTCCCCTTATGTTAAAGTATACTTTCAAGTCAAAATTGTATTGTAATGTAACAATAAAGAGTTTAACAATCCTGTAAAGTGTAAGAATCATAAATTTTATTTGTTTAGGGAACAATATAGATAAGAAAGACAACTTTAAGAATCTGGGGAAGGTGGGAGATCATATTCTTATTTGAATTGAAGTTTTCGTAGAAACACTTTTACGTTTTTTGTGAACACATTTTTCAGTTATTTTTTCTTTATCTTACATACATAAAATTATTATAATATATTTTTTTACAAAAACTCTTAAAAATAAAAATCCAAACGGGTTAGCGGAACCAAGTCGGAATCAAGGTGGTGTTTTTTTTTTTTGTTTGTTTTGGGAGGTTGGAAGGGGGGGGGGGGTTACATTGTCCACTTTCAACAAGATGTAAATCAGCCAGCTCCTCCCATGACAAAGTGACATACTGAATTGTGGAAACAATAATGGAGCTAAGAATTGCGATAGCAAATTGTCGTCAGATCTGAAATCTTGGTGCATTTTTTGCTTTCTAGATGCTACGAACCATTCAATTAAAACTGATTGACAACTAAGGCTCGAAACTTGAGGAAATGGAACATAAACTTGTGAGGTTTTTTCTTGATTCTAAGGTACGAGGTTCAAAACTTTCTCTAGCTTTGTCATGCCATTAGAATTTACTTTCACAAGATTAAATGGAAATGCAAGGCAGCTCTTTGACCGTGGAATAGATCACTCGGAATTTCACGAACAAGATGCGCCCTCAAATATATAGACGTGGAGCTATAATAAATTAGTATGTAAGAAGCCCAATATTTTGGTTTTCGGCTGAAACTCCAGACGGATAGTGATACGTAAAGCAAAGAAACTCCAGACGGACTCTTACTCCATCCCGTCAGAGGCCCATAGATTTTTTTTTTTTTTGGGGCCAAAAAGAAGAACCAAAGCCTTACAAGTTACGATAGGAAAAGAGGAATGGGGGTAGCTCAAGCGTCAAACTAGAAATGTTCTAGAATCTTGAAAACATTTAGTTGCTATTAGCCTATGTTACATCAGCAAGTTTAGGATAATGCAATTCAAACAGCCAAAAGCCAAAATTCGCACCATTACTGCCTTCTTTGTTTTGCTCGAGATCTATACTATATTTTCTAGTGCCACCACCCATAATCAACTATTTGCAAGCCAAATTAACTCATATCCAATATTTTTATAATTTCACAAGGTCCGACCGACTGAATTAGTCGCCCACCAAAAAGCAAGAATCCTCCACCAAAACATTTATAACCCATACAACAAACGAAAGGTTTCTTTCTGCCTGTAAAGTTCAGCAGAGCAGATGTGCTTAAATTTTGAAGGGAAGTAGTATATGTAGCTTGGATGAGGAAATTCAGTACTGTGGCTAGCTCTCCCAGTACTGGGTTAATTAAAAACTCGTTTGTTAATATGAGTTCAGGGGGCTTGGGCTTGCTGTCAGGGAATATCGGATTTGCAAAGTGAGAAATGCAGTAAAATCTTCAAGGCTGCCGCCTCAGCTTCTGCAATTGGGATTATGAAGACTGTCGTTGATGAAGTAAGGCTTGGGGCAAGAAAGATGCCTAAATCTCTTGCACAAACAATTTTTGCTCAATCAGTGGAAAGTCACAGTTTGCATTAAAGAAAAGGAAAATTGAAAGAAAAAAAAAAAATTTACACCATGCATTGATAAAACCCAAAACTCACTAGCAATTAAGTGCCTCCATCTTCAGAACAAACATACGCATACATACATAAACAAAAATCAAGTTGACTGTACGTAAATATTTAGTTACTAGCTATAGATTGATCAACAACAACATCCAAGAAGCCAAAAAACTCGTAACCAGAAAATTAACATCAAGCACAAGCTGGGCAGAGAACCAAGCCATTCTCATTGCAAGAAGGACACCTCTCTTTCTCCTTCTTATCATCCCCGACCAAAACCTTACAACTTCCTCCACAATCCAAACACGGCACAAACCTTGCGCCTCCACACCCTTCACAGCCAAGCCTCCCGATCCCCCTCTCGACTCGAGCCCAATTCAGAATCCTCCCGAGTCGACCCGTCTCGTTCAGATTCACCACCTCATCCACCCCTCCCACGTACCTCCCCTTCACGAACATCCTCGGCACGCTCACCCCTTCCCCCAGCAGCTCCCTCAACTCTTTCAAGAACTCCCCATGCAACGACACGTCCCGCTCGTCGAACACGAATCTGTGAGACTCCATAATCAACCTCACCTTGTTGCAGTCCTCGAAAGTCCGCCTCACTCCTCCCAACGACGTCGTGTAGATCACCACCCACTCCTCTCCTCCCGGAGGGCACATCTCTGGGAAGTCGTTCAAGGGGTTGAACCTGGCAATGTTTGGGACCTTGCCTTCCTTTTCCCTCTCCAACTTGTCTCTCAGTATGAATATGTTCTCCTTAACCGGCTTGTAGTCGTAGCCTGCTGGTGCTTCTGGTTTTGCTGGTTCCGACGATTGATGCTTTCCTGATTCGCGCTTCTTCAACTCCACGGCGGGTTTTGTTGCCGGAGCGCTCGTTTTCTTTGGCATCAGCTGATCATCATCAGCAGCGGGCTTAGATTTAGAGGAGAGCTTGGCGTCCAGTTCTTCCAGTGTGTGGAAAGAGAAGCTCTTACGTGGGGCGTTTTCCTTTTCATTGGGGGCGGGAGCGGGAGTGGGCGGTGATGGAGAGCGGAGGAGGGGAGTTTTGGGGGCAGCAAGGAGGAGGATGGGCTTAGGATGTGTGGGGGGAGGTGTGGAGTTGTTGTGCAAGGTGGGCTTGAGGTCGTTGAGGACTTTGCTGACCTCGTCCCAGGAACGAGGAGCATCTTCGATGGCGTTAAGCTTCTCAAGGAGCGGAGGTGGGACTGCGTGAGCAGGTTTTTCTTTTTCATCGGGGTGGTCGGATTGTTGTTGTTGCTGGTGGGCTTCCAAGGCCTTCATCCATGGCTCCTCTATGGCGTTGATGTCGAATACTGCGAAGCTGGTTGGAGGAGGACGGTAGACATCAATGGCTGCCTCGATTCTTTTTGACGAGGAACACCCCATTATTACTTTCACTACAAACGCTGAAAATTAGTAATCAATCAAGTTGCCACCACTACTGGCTTGGCCACTCTCTCACTCAACTCAAAAACGGTTACCGAGTGTATGAACTATGATGAGATTCACTTGGCGATTACAACAAGATTGGAATTGGAGGAGAGTGCATGAGCTGTGGCGGGCAGCTGCTGGGGTAGTATTGGACTCTTAAATTTCTTGTGGTTTTGAATGAGGGTTTTATTAT